AGAAGTTCAGAAGATGAAAATGGCAAATCACTTCAATGTTTGTAAACCACCCCCCTAAATTAAAACAATACTCCCAGATGTCTCTATGAAGACACCAAGAGTCAATTTTGACTCAAAGAGCCTTCACTTTTTTAAAAAAAATCCTTAATTCGTTTCCCAGAGTAGCTGATAATGTCAAAATGCAATTAAAGTAGAGGCATGGTGACATATCAAACTCACACGCACACACAAAAGCTAGATCCAAAGTACTCCAGCACCTTTTCAGTCCTGCACATTGGCTTTGAGTGGATACTGACATAAAATTTCCCACTGTCTAAAATCAAAAATAAACAGTGTATGACACAGAGACACAAACCAGGCCATGTAGCTCAGCATGAAAATATATAGGTTTAACAAATGAAGGTTCAGCAGTGACACTGAACTCCTTGAACCATACTAGGTTACATGGACAAGTAGTTCTGAGTATTTCAATAGTAGACCACATAGCCTTTATTCAGCAGCTCAGAAGCTAAGTACAGCATTCTCCAACACAGATGTCCAACATTAACATCCAGAGGTGCTGAAGCTTGCCGTTCTGGATTCTACATAGGACAAACAGGCTAAAATAATTAATGGACATAAGTTTGATATAATGTTGATATAAAAGCAAAGGTAAAGTAATATCAGAGCATTTCAACCTCCCAGGACATTCCATTATAGATCTCAAAGTAATCATTGACAGTTTAATTCAGTGACAGATTGCTGAATTCATATGCCTCAAAAGGTTCCAGGCTATCATAGAAGGTCTCAACAAATATAATGGGCTTTTAAGACATTACTGTTGTTAAGTGATAAGGTACTTGTAACCTGTCTCACATATAACCTGATCTGCATAACCACCCTGCCTTTCCCTACCTTCTTCCCCCGGAGTAGTCCTTGACATAATTCCCAGGGTCACTTACTTTAAAACTTGCTCCGAATTCACTCCTCCACCCCAGTACATTTTTGTGTACAAGGACCTCTCACAATACCAAGTCCTTCTGGGAGTCACCCAGTTTTTCAATCCTGGCCCACAGGCATGCTGCTTGGGTGTGCAGCAAGTCATTGTACATCCTACCTATGCAGGTCACACCAGCAATGGAGACATTGCTCTGGTTCAGCTGTCTAGGAAGGTCCACTACTCACACCTGATCCTGCCCATTTGCCTGCCTGATACCTCTGTGAATTTCCCCCCAGGCCAAGTGTGTTGGGTCACAGGCTGGGGCAACCTGCATCATTCAGGTATATGCAAGACAAAGAAGCAATGAAGCAAAGCAAAGCAGACAATGGGATTGTCTGATAGAAAAGTTATAAAAATGATGCATGGAATGGAGAACTCTCCTGAGCTCAGTCAAACTATAATGTCATGAGCTTTTAGAATGAACTAAGGAAAAGTATAACATACCCAAAGCATTAAAAAGAATGTACCTTATTCTAGAAATCAAACATTTGACTGATGAATATAGCATCTGCAAGTGAATATAGGATCTGCATCTTGGAACCCAAAACTAATTAATATTTTTAAAACATGTATTGACCAATTTCATTTCAAGACCTTGGGGTGAGGGAGGTTAGACTGCTAAAAATTGTGAGATTTGGGCTATTTTTTAGGAGATGCCTGCTGCTGTTTTCATTTTTTTAAAGCATGATAATTTTTTTTAACACCCATCTTGTCATGCAACATGAGACAGTGATGTCTCCATGTCCCAGAAATGTCCTGACCTAAAAAAACTATGAAAGAAATTGCAGAGAAAAATGTGAAATAATCTGTAGAAATTATGGATCTGAAGGGCTTTAAAGATGGCAGTGTATGTGTGAGAGGGAGGAATGTTTCAAAAGAAGTGCTTCAGTGTCACATAATGTTGTCATTGCAGTCAATCTTCCCTCTCCATAAATTCTCCAGAAGTTAAGGGTGCCTATCATCAACTCAAAGACATGCAGTGAACTTTATCGCACCAACATGAGTGATGGCCTGACTCCACAGGTGATTGCAGATGATATGATCTGTGCTGGCTTTGCAGAGAGCAGGAAAGATGCTTGCAAGGTAAGTAATATCCTTTCTCAGATACATTACAGTGTTATGGTGCCCCCTTACGGACAGCCAGTTTGGTGTAGTGGTTAAGGCATCAAGCTAAAACCGGGAGACTGCAGGAACCTCTCCAGGCAGTCTCCAGGAGTCAAAAGAAAATAACTGACCCGAAAGCACAAAATATGTAATATATGGAGAAGGACCAATGCCATCACATGTAAGAAGAGGCAAGTGATGTTTAAAATGGGGGAATGGGCAGGGGGGAGGTGAGATTTATATAGAAGGAGGAAGCTTCTAGCTTAATTATTTTCTCTGGATGATAAAATGATTGTAAGGTGTCCTATTTTGGATGACGCTATCTGAGTTTCTGCAGGTGACTTTAAAATAGACAGAATGTATCTCCCCATGTTTGCAGAAGATGGTAGGAAGCTCTTTCTGGTCAGCCCTAGATGGAAATCCAGAAATGTTAGATCCTAACCTTTGACATCTTCACAGTTATCACATAAAGCTAAAATTAACTTTCTTCAACTGCTACTGCTCTTGAGATGTGCTGGTTATGAAATCTGGAAGTCATAACTTGCGTGAAAGTAAGAAGGACTGAACTTAATGCATGGGACTTTTCTTGAGGATCCAAAGGGACAGTGGAATTATAAGCTATTGTACCTATTTTTTAAATGAAACCTGAGGTATTCAAGGTGATCCAGTGACTAAGATTCAATAGTGGGATTTAGGTTTCAGGGATATTGTTGAGTTTCCAACTTTTTCCATTACTTCCCTTTGCTCTCACAGAAAATTATTCACTGTTTACAGGATTTTAATTTTACTCCGCATTCCTCCCATTCCAATATTCATTTCAATTTTCTTGGTTGACAGGGTGATTCTGGAGGTCCTATGGTTTGTCTGGTGGGCCAGTCATGGGCTTTGGCTGGTATCATCAGCTGGGGTGAAGGATGTGCTATTGAGAACCGCCCTGGCGTGTACAGTTGGCTCACATATTACAAAAAATGGATCCACAGCTATATCCCAAATATTGAATTCATCAAAGACCCCAATAGTGATGAATCACATAACTGGCAGCAGGATTCCAAAGGCCCCAAACATTGCAAGATTAACTTGTCTGACCATAGTTCCTCACATACTACCAGCTCTTGGATATTGATGGTGTGTCTACTGATTTTTGTATAATTAGTAGATAGTAAGACAGTATTGACCTGGTGGGTTATGGAAGAGAAAGAATTACCAGCCAGCTTCCTTATGCACCTTTTGGAGGTTCACTTCCATGTTCAGCATTAGCTGTAGCAAATAACTCAGCTTTTATTGTCTTCTTTTAAATGAGAGACCAAATATATGTTGAAAGTTTTTATACTATAGTTTCTCTTAGATTCCAAGCATTTTTATTTTAAGGCCAGAAACCTAGTTAAAAGTTATATTCTTCCAACTTGACTAGAAGCGAGGATTGCTTTCTGGCTGGTTATTTCTTATGTACTCAACTTCAGTTAAAACAAGACAAAACAAAAAACGAAATCTTAACTTTTTTACCAGTCTCATTTCTGAACATGAATTGTGTTCTGGCATTCTGGAGTTGTCAGCATTATTATTAATGCACGCATGCACATACACACGCACTCATTTCCAAACAGACACATACACACCTATATATAAAAGCACTAAAATGTTATTAATATGTATTACCCTGGTTTAATTTTTTCCATGAAGATTGGATTCAAAAGCTGAAACAGTGAAGGATTTGTATTTTGCACATTTGAGCTTTAATTTCAGTTGGGCACATCTCACAAGTTTTAAATTAATGTTTGAGCAAATGGATGGAAGTTTCCTATTTTAGGGGGAAAAAATTAAACATATCTTTGCAAAATTGTGTGGACAATTTCTACCCTTTTCTTCACTCCATCCTGTCACTGAAATAACTTCTCTGGAAATATCTGCTTCAACCATTATATTGTATTTGTCTAGGCTAGTAAGCATGTAAAGATTTCAGAGATAGGCATTTGGCTTTAAAAGTTCATTGGGAAACATGGTTTCATTTTTAGAAAAGAAAAAAGCTAAAAGAAGAAAAAACACCCTGGAATTTATCTTTATTAACATTCAGTTCCTTCCCCTCCCAGGCACATATGTTTCACTACATAAAATAGATGAGCCTTTCCCAGCCTGATGCCCACCAGATGTGTTGGAAATTGATTCCCATTATTCCAGCACCATAGCCAATAACCATTCTGGCAGAGGATGATGGAAACAGCCATGCTGGCTGGAAATGGTGGAAGCTTTAGAATACCCTCCAACTCATCTGGAGGGTATTATATTGGGAAAGGTTGGCATAGATGAAAGTGCTATGATGGAGTTGTACTAGAAGGAAAGGGTCTGAACTAACCAGGAAAGAAATTAATCAATGAAACCTGTGCATCAAAAGGTGCTTGTGTTCCTTCTTAACCTAGCCCTTCATTGATTCTTATTATAGTTGTGTATTGCTAAACCATAGCAGTTTACCAGCAGATAAAAGCAAAATATAACATTACAAAGATAAAACAAATCAATAACGTATAAAGCAACAATAGTGAAGTGGCCATGGTGGCATGCTAAGCTAAATGTGGTTGTCACTTGTCACATATGTCATTTTTGCAGATCCAAGCAGATGATGAAAGTACCGTATTTTTCCATCAGTAAGACGCCCCCATGTACAAGACGACCCCCACTTTTCCAACCCAAAATTAAGAAATCAATATTTTAAGGATAGTGCAGAACACATTTTTTATTTAGTAATTAGGTAACATTTACTTGGTGGGAGGAGGTCCAAACTGTCTCTCTGCAGCTCTATTTCCATGCTCTTTTGCATAACTGATTACATTCAATCACGAGTTGAAACAGC